TATACACTCAGAGTAACACCACAAATATCGTATTCACCTGAGTACACTACACCAACACAAAAAAAAAAAAATCATATTACTAGAATACACTGGTATCGAAGGAACTAGATTCTGTTCCAAAATATCACTTATTCGAACCGTCCTGACCGCGTAGCTCAGTTGGAAGAGCATTGGGCTGGTATTCCAAAGGTCGTAGGTTCGAATCCCATCGTGGCCGGGCATATTTTTCAAGCTCGCCCGGTGTGGATATACACTCAGAGTAACACCACAAATATCGTATTCACCTGAGTACACTACACCAACACAGAAAAAATTCATATTACTAGAATACACTGGTATCGAAGGAACTCGATTCTGTTCCGAAATATCACTTACTCGAACCGTCCTGAACGCGTAGCTCAGTTGGAAGAGCATTGGGCTGGTATTCCAAAGGTCGTAGGTTCGAATCCACCCGTGGCCGGGCATATTTTTCAAGCTCGCCCGGTGTGGATATACACTCCGAGTAATACCACAAATATAATAATAGGTTTATTAAGAGTATGTTTAATGCATGATACAGTATCTACGCTTTAAGTTCTCTCACTTCTCTACCTGTCTGTTGAAAACTACATCATAACTTAGAAGTTTGAGTGACGAGCATGTACGACGACCTCCGCGCGTGCCCTTGGTGTCAGGAACCTAGTCCTCAGCGTCAGGAACCTTGTCCCCAGCGTCAGGAACCTTGTCCTCAGCGTCAGGAGGTATTGTCCTTAGCGTCACGAACCTTGTCCTCAGCGTCAGGAACCTTGTCCTCACCGTCAGGAACCTTGTCCTCACGGTCAGGAACATCGTCCTCAGCGTCCGGAACCTTGTCCTCAGCGTCAGGAGCCTTGTCCTCAGCGTCACGAACCTTGTCCTCACCGTCAGGAACCTTGTCCTCACCGTCAGAAACCTTGTACTCAGCGTCAGGAACTTTGTCCTCAGCGTTAGGAACCTTGTCCCCACCGACACTAACCGTGTCCTCAGCGTCAAGAACCTTGTCCTCACCGTTAGGAACCTTGTCCCCACCGACACTAACCGTGTCCTCAGCGTCAGGAACCTTGTCCTC